ACCCTGTGAATTCAGCTAGCTCCATAAAGACATGGTATGACCACTTTGGTGCGGAGAAACTAAAGTGGCCTTCACAGAGCTTTGAGCTCCACCCCACTGACCTCCTTTTGGGATGAATTGAACCCAGGTTTTCTTGCTGATCATCAGTACATGATCTCACAAGTACTTATTTGGGTGACTGGGCCCAAATTAACCTAGACACATTTCAAAGTCTTGTGGAAAGCCTTCCCAAAGGAGGGGAGTCGTTTATTGCTGGTGGGGGGGAGGGGAGGAGGGAAGGTGGTGTCAACTCTATATTAATGCCCATGATTTTGGAATAATACGTCCAGCATGCTCATATAGGTGTGACCGTTGGCCATATGGTGTGCATGCACATTAACACAAAGTAGCCTTTTTGGCCTCTTCATTCACAAGCTCACCTAGTGTTCCGTTCTCGCCACACCTATGCCCCGTGCCTTCTGACTCCACCTGTACCTACAAAAGCACATCTACGTTTAATCCCACGCCCGCTATCATCCATCAGTGCAGATAATCCAAGGCTTCTAGTAGGGACTCATTGATGAGGAGCTGCCAATGGATTGTATCTTCTAGTGGTGTGTGATGCTGAATTTGATACTGTGTTTGAGACAACCAGGATTAATTGTATTTTGTTGACTATAAGAACAAACTACATACCCTTACAAGCACTCTTAAGCTAGCCATACATGGATTGAAATTCGGTCAGTACAGCAGGGACCGGACAAATTTTGATCCATCTATGGGCGGGATGTTTGGCCAGAAGTTGTTCTACTGATCGCTTCTGTATAATTGCTCTGTCAGATATTTGCCACTTGATCAGAGTTTCCAGCTATAGCTGTATTTTGATGGAGGGGAGGTCTCTCACTATCAGAATACAAAGGCTCAGTGGGAGGATTCTCTCATCCACCTTGAATATATAGAAGGGGAAATCAAGTTTTTTTCTTTTTTTCGTTCATCCCGCTAGTTGAAGAAAGGTCATTTATACTGACAGGAAGAATCAATGAACTACCACTCATAGCGCTGAGATAGTTCATTGAGAACTACAAGATGACAGCCGCTAAGGACATTGGAACTTGTAGTTTTCTCATTCACAGAGGACTGTGAATGAGTGACGCAGAGCCTTGCAGCCAATAATAATAATTAAGAAGACCCTCCGCTAGCTGTCAAAGTGGGGGTGCCAGTACATTCCGCTAATGGAACTAAAGTCCTGTTTTCAAAATCGTTGAGCAGGAAGGCTCTTTGTTGCAGAACCATCTTTTAACCATCTAACTGCTGTCATTTGAAAAACTACAAGCAAAAATACATCTGAAAAAAAAGAGGAAAACAAATTCAGCTGCCACACTTAAGCGCTTGTAAGCCGCATTATAATAATATTTTTGTATTTGCGATTAGGTATACTTATAGATAAATACCTGGCACTTCTAGGTACAGGGACCATGTGATTCACTGCCCTTCCGTCATGTGAATTTTCAGCTCTGGGTGAGCTCTGTCAGGAGCTTACAGTCTGAACAGCAATGGGGGAACTAACAAAATCTCGGTATAACTTGCTGCCTGTAAAGGGAACCTGTTGCACAGGTTCTCTGTGACACTATACTCCATTCCAGATTCAAACTTTAGGGGTTCATTTAGACAGGCAGTTTAGGGAGCCTGCAGACAAAAATCATTGACTTTTGCCAGCAGGCAGGAAAAAGTGTGTTGGACAGCCATGACTAGCAGCCTGTACAAATCAATGACAGGCACTCAGGACTTTGGCCCTGAACGGAGATAGTTTGCATCCAGCGATGGCGTTTTTGGACCCATCTAATCAGCCAGTTTGTATGCACCCATATCCTCCACTGAACACAGCAGCCTAACTGCCCAAGATCTCCCATCTGAATTAAACCCAAAAGGCACACAGGGAGCACAGCCTACCTGCTCACAACGGCAGGCTTTTATGCAGCCAGTGCTGTAGTGTCCACAGCTATCTCTTTTTATGTTGCCATAGCCCTGCTTGTGAACACACCCACTGCGTGCTCCTTATTGCCTCTCACATACAGTAAGTCTGATGAAAAAATATTATTAATAAGACATTTTTCCAAACCGCCAGTTCAATACAAGCCTGCCTCGGCTCACTTACAGTAGTGGCTGAATTCAGTTTATGGCTCAATGATGGCTTTCATTCCTAGAATTACACTTTAATGTGTCTGGAATAGAACACACACATGGCGCTAGCTATGTTTACACGCAGTTTGCATCTTCAGGTGCCCCAATGTGCACTGGAACTATGGGTTACCATAGAAATGCGCGACTTCTTATATGTCTATGGCTCGGCATGTAACATAACTATTGCTGTTTAAAGGGGTTTTTGTTTTTTGTGGTTGTTTTGTTATTAAGTGTTCTTGCATGGCAAGACCACTTACTGTTATCGCACATATATATTCTTATTATTATAGCCAAATTTACCACCCTAACTCCTCCCACAGTTTTTACACTACATAGACAGTAATATACCGAAACGTGTGGATTGTTCCCGATTGGTGTGCTATTACTTTGTGGAACGTTTCGCCGAATGGTTCACGAAATATCGGCGTTTTTTGTGGTGAAATTGGTCCCATAGGAATGAATGGCGGAATGTTCAAAGCTAAAGTGTGAGCTGAAAAATCAGGACGTGATTTCTAAACTGCCATCACTCCCTCATTTTCAAGCCCACCTACACAAATCTTATATCAAAACGTTCAGCTATCCCTGCTGCCACTAAAAATGTCCATGGCTAAGCCATAGTCCTGATAGTTTTCACAATATGATCATTTGTTTGCAACTCACGCCGCCCATTGACATTCATTGAAACTCCACTCTAGACACCTGAAATTTGAAGGGCAATTTCTAAAGTGTGATTGTGCCTTCATTTTTAATATTTCAGAGACATACTATGCATCAAACTGTAGGTCTGGGTCTTGTGATTCCCACAATATAAAGCTCTTTGGTGTAGGATTTATAATTTTTAAACTACAACCGTTTGAATATGGCAACCGCCAGTGAAGTGAGCAAGTTGGAGCAGTTTGTTTTTAACAGCTCTTCTCTGCCCTTGCTGTAGAGTGAGTTGCCATAGGAACTCAGGTGTGTGAGCAGGCAGCAGAGTGACAAAAGCTAGAGTGTGAGCTGTCAAGCTTGCCATGTGCACTTTTTAAATTTGATCAATCAATTGGTTAGTGTAATGTTTACTATCTTTACTCACTCCAAACATTCCACACAGTTACTTTGCCCACTCCATAAAGTTACTCTGCCCAGTCCAACCTTTTCACAGTTACTCTACCCACTCCATAAAGTTACTCTGCCCAGTCCAACCTTTTCACAGTTACTCTGCCCACTCCATAAAGTTACTCTGCCAGTCCAACCTTTTCACAGTACTCCAGCCACTCCAACCACACAACAGTTACTGAAGCCACTCCACCCAGTTACTCCTCCACCCAGTTGTAGACTACTGGTGGAGGCAAGAACACTTCACACAATTTCCCCAGAAATTGTAGCTTTTCTAGTTATAATGTCTTCTTTGAAGGCTAACCACATTTAAAAAATGATTTAAAAATGTGCTGTGTGCAAAATGATTCCATATCTGTGTATAGTGTTTAAACGGCAGTTTTAGGGGGCATGTGAGATCATTGGTGTGTTGGTGCAGTCTAGGGACTGAGTTATTAGAAATTCTTTTTCAGGTTAGTGTGAATCTATACAGTCCATTGCAGCTAGATTCATCAAGCCTTCCATGTCATTTCTAGACGTTACTGCAGCCTTTTGTGCATGATTCTATGTTGTGCAGCCTCTGACTCTTAGAACTACAACTAATGCTAGGTACACACAAGAATTTTTTTTTTTCATTCAACCCAGTGGGCTGAATGAAAAAAAAAACTGAGAGGTCGATATACTAACTAAGAAATCCTCCATCCTGTAGGTCCATCCAATCAATTATGTGTATTATACGTTCAAGGCTCTAAAATTAGGCTGAGGGTAACTTATCCACCGGGACCAGAATTAAAGGACTTTATTGTGTCTTAGATGCAAAAACCATTGACTTTTACCAGTCATGGTCCCATTTATGGAGCCATAACCCCAGGAAGTTAAGTCCTTAGAACTTCCAGGAGCAGGCTATAGTTTGTTTAGTAGCATTGAAAATAAAGGTAATTAGTTCTGATACAGAGTTTGGAACATTTTGTATGGACGTATTCCAGTAAAGCTCCCATGAGCAAATTATGGCCTCACACAGTATTTACTAAAGAATAAACTCAGGACCATAGTTTGCAGACCTTGGGACAGGTTCACCATCCTGTTCACAGTTCCAGAAGCAAAGAGATGAGTATTGAGGTATTGGGATGGGGTGAGATACCAATGAAATCGTACTTTATACAGGTTCTATAGTGCTAGGACTTTAAATGAGCTTTAAGCTGTAGAGGCCCATATCTCTTCCCAATACTCATCTGCCTAATGCTTCCTCAAATGGAGCAATTTTGGAAGAACGCAAGGAAGCCTTTTTGAGGGAAGTAAGATCTGGGGTGTGTGGGTCTCTTCAACTTTTATTTTTGAAATCTGTGAATGGAGTTTCTGTCTTTTTCAGTAAAGAAGAGAAAATAAGAATGCTGTAAATGATTATACTGGTAGTATTTCTGGTTAGGAGCAGTATGCACTTTCATCCAGAATTTATTTTAAGTTCTGCAAGTAGCACAACATCTACTATTGAGATGAATGAAACTACATGAAAGACACAAATCTACATTGTATTTGCATTTAAATACAGGTATTTATTATCTGCTTTTGCTGAAATTATGTATCTAAAAGCAGATTTAGAACTTGTGCAAAAAAAAAGCATGTGTCTTGAAATACAAAAGTGTAGATCTCAGCCCTAAATTGTGTCTTCTGAAAAAAATTGTCCTGTCTTTGGCTCTCGTGAGTGTTTGCTTTATAACGAACCAGTATGGAGTTCTGTCAGCCAACGTGTATTTGTTCTTTTTTTGCAGTGACAGTTATGCACGCGTGCGAGCTGTGGTGATGACGCGGGATGACTCAAGTGGCGGGTGGCTGCCACTTGCAGGAGGGGGACTCAGCTGTGTCACCGTGTACAAGACTCCCCACCCTGAGGATCATGGCAGCTCAGACTTTCTTGTTCATGGGGAACGGCTCAGAGACAAAACGGTGAGAGATGTCTCAGAATTCCATGCTGTTTGTATCCTTCGTTTATGTGCTTTTCCTTTGTGTTACCGCCCATAGCTGTCACACTGTTGTACAAACCTCCTGGTATCCTTTCCTCTCCTTTAGCACTACACTCACCCTTGTGTATATGCATAGTCTACCTTCAGCTCTAACTTGCACTTCACTAACTGTAAATTACAAACTATACTAGACTTAAAGTGGAGCTGCAGTGAAAATAACTAAAAATTAAAGTCAGCAGCTAAAAAAAACCGTAGCTGCTGACTTTTTAAAAAACAGACACTTACTTGTCCCTCGATCCCGCAGTGTCCCCCCCGCAGCCCGTTTCACCGGCCGCCATGTGTTCCTGGTGCTGGCATCTTCAGTGTGGGCACCCAGCTGTAACAGCTTGCGGCTTCATAGCCAGGTGATCACTGCGCATGCACGAGTAGCGCTGCACTTTGTGAAAGGTCCCAAAGTCTTCTGGGACCTGTCACATGTCTCAGAAGACTACCGGGAGGGAGGGGGAGGACAACTTCTGCTTCTGATCACCTAGGCGATAGCAGCAGAAGTGGGAGAGGGTACCTGTCAATTTCGGGTACCCGCTCCCCGAAGGTGCCAATCCTTAACGGGGATCAGTCCTTGAAGCGGAACTTCCTAGCACAGTGGCTAAATGGTTAGCACTTCCACCTGGCAGTACTAGGGTCGTTGGTTCAAATCCCAGCCACGGCACCTCCAGCCTGGAGTTTGCATGTTCTCCCTGTGCCTGCGTGGGTTTCCTCCAGGTACTCCTGTTTCCTCCCACCCACCAAAGACATGCCGGTAGGTTAATTGACTCCTATCTAAATTGGCCCTAGTATGTGTATGTATGAATGTAAGATAGGGACCTTAGATTGTACGCCCCTTGAGGGTTAGGGACTGATGTGAATGTACAATATATATGTAAAGCGCTGCGTAAATTGCCTGCACTATATAAGTACCTGAAATAAATAAATAACTTCCCTTTTTGGGTGGAGCTCCGCTTTAGGAAGACCTCCTGCTGATACTCTTGCACGTACAGGAATTAGCTTGTACTCCCTTCATTTAAATTTCTTGAAATCTTGAGGGTCCATTCACACCATTTGGCCTCGGTAACGTATTGGTGCACTGCAGTGCCATTAATTGTGAATTGCAGCCCACTGAACACACGGTGACATCCTACTCTATGATGCATGAATGCTGCAGGTACATTTTAGGTCTGTTTTGTTGGGTTAGGCAGCCCATTCAAATAAGTGGTCAGCCTTAATGCAGTGCAACATAATGAGTGACATAGCCGCACAGCAATGCACTTGTCTTATGTGACCCATCAGCTCCAGTTTGGGGAAGTTAAAAACAGATCATAGTGAACGTGCTTGCTGTTACTTCAAAAGCTTCAGCACTACTTCACACTTGAAAGCCTTCTAATAGCTCCTACTGTGATCTGTGCTTTAACGTGTATGTCAGGGCAAAAACAAACATAGTATATCTCTCCAATACATACACAGTTACTCATGTTTTGCCTCTAAAAATGCTTCAAGTACAGAAAAATACCTGCTGATCTGCCATAAATCCAGTAGGCTCCTACTGTTGTGTTGTGGACCTTTACCAATGTGCCCCTGCTGTACTGAAATCCCAAGCAGTGTTACCAACCCAATCCACCTCCTTCCCATGTTATAGAGACAGGGGTGTTTCTGTAGTCATAATACACATTGTGTGCAAAGGTGACTACTCTGCTCTTCCATATGTACAGTCCAGTGAGTGAGCGTTGTCACCCTAGAACAGGAAGTGTGTTGCTGACATGATCACCAGTTAAAAATAAAGAAAAGGGAAACTTAGAAAAAAAAAAGGACTGTTCAGCTGCAATATACACTGATCAGCCATAACATTATGACCATGCACCTAGTATTGAGTAGGTCCTACCTTTGCTGTTAGAACAGCCCTGACACATCGAGGCAGGGACTTCACCGCCGCTGGCTTGCCTTCTTTCCATAGTTCATCCTAGTGCCATCTCTTCTCTGTGTGCCCATTGTAGGCGCTTTTGGCTGTGGACACAGGACAGCATGGGCACCTTATACAGCCTTATACACAACAAACAGTGATGCAATTTGTGTTCTGACATTTTCTATCAGAACCAGCATGAACTCTTTCAGCAATTTGAGCTGCAGTAGCTCTACAATTGGACTGGACAATACAGGCCAGCCCAGCCTTCGCTCCACACTTGCATCAGTGAGCTTTGGCTGCCCATGATCCTGTTCACCAGTTTTCCTTCCTTGGATCACTTTTGGTAGGTCCGGACCACTGCAGACTTGTAACATCCCACAAGATTGTAGTTTGGAGTTGCTCTGATATAGTCATCTAGCCACTACAATTTGGCAAATGTCAAAGTCATTCAATTCCTTAAAAAGTATTACTAAACCCAGGACTCTGCATTCACTATATCTGGTCCCCCACAGTACACAGAGCATAGAAATGCAATTATTTTAGTAAATATAAACTGCTAAATACCTTTTCTCATCAGCAGTTAGAGCAGTCTTGTGACTTCACTGTTCAGCAGAGCACTGGTTAAAGCTTGTAGAAGTTTTCTTTCTGCTCTAGGAGGATGCAGAACCCCTGATCTCTGTCTGGACAGCGCTGATTTGCCCTGTGCTGATCATATGCACTCTCCCAAGAAAAAAAAAAACACCTAGCGGTACACACCAAACTGAGCATGGGCAGAGTGTCTCCACACAATATGTCTTATCAAAAGATAAGAGGAGGGTACTGGGAGAAGGGGAGGATCAGAGAAGACAGGATCAAACACCATTTTTACGCAATGCAGAGGATTAACCCCTTAGGTTCCACAGTGAGTATATCAAGCATGCTTTATTGCATATACAGACTGATTTTACTGTTTGTGGGTTTAGTAACACTTTAAAGGGGAGCTCCAGCCAAAGTTAAAAAAAATAAGTCAGCAGCTAAAAAAAAAAAGCTTAAAAAACAGCCACTTAGCTGTCGCAGATCTAGCGGTGTACTCACCGCAGCCGTTTTCACTGGCCGTCCTTGCTCTCCAGCACCGACATCTTGAAGTGCGGTGCCCACTGTGCATGCACAAGTAGTGTTGCTCCTTGTGAATGGTCCTGTGGTCTTCTGGGACCTGTCACATGTACTAGAAGACTACGTGCGGAAAACTTCCGCTTCCACTTGTCTAGGTGTCCGCAGCAGAAGTGGGTACCTGTCAAAATCGGGTACCCGCTCCCTCAAGGTGCCAATTCCTCACGGGAAGGAGAGGACTAGTACTTAAAGCGTAACTTTCCCTTTTGGTTGGAACTCTAGCTCGGGGTAAAGTTTCAGTACCACAAGCGGTAACCCTGAGCTACACTCGGGCTTACCATGCGGCGTTGATCAGGGATTCCCTGCAGAGCTTACCTTGTCCTTCGCTCCCGCGATGTGTCCCCTGCAGCGTCCCCGGCCATCTCCTCCGGCCGAAGCCGGCATCCGGCTTCCGTGTTCCTGTCCCTGTGGCGGCAAATTTGGAAGTTTTAAAAAATTTCTTTTTTTTAAAAATGATTTTCTACATAGTAAAACATTGCTGTTTCAAAGCATTTCACATACATTTTTCCCTACTGCTTTGCCCTGTGCCCTGCCTGCATTTTGACTGTTCTTTCTGCCTGGAAACTGGTAAAAGTCCATGGCGTCCAAAAAGCATCCCTTTACGTCAAAATCAGTTTTAGACCAGCTAGAGAACAGCGATAGTAAATCAGAACCACTTGCAGAATAGAGTGATAATGATTTGTGGGGAAATTCGTCATCAGACACTGAAAACTATTTTGCGACTTTGCTCAGCGATGTGCAAACTTGGCGCTATATTTCAAATTTCAGTGCTTTTGGTTTGATTATATTATTGAATTAAATTTATTATTATATTATTATTTATATGATTATATATTAAAATATAATTTATGATTTCATGTTTCAAGTTTTATCATACCCGGGATGTTTACTAGACTCTTGTTCGAACAGATTTCAGTGAGTTATTCCTAAAAATTACAGGCCTACAATATGAAAAAAAACTACATATTTCCATGCAAAAAAATGTACCGCTTTCATCACCAAAAATCTGAAATAATCATACAGCCAGGGACGTTAACCTCCTTGGCGGTATTCCCGAGTGTAGCTCGGGGTAACATTTCAGTACCAAGAGCGGTAACCCCGAGCTACACTCGGGCTTACCATGCGGCGCTGCTCTGGCATGTGTTCTTCACTTACCTTACCCTGCGCTCCCGCGATGTGTCCCCTGCAGCGTCCCCGGCCATCTCCTCCGGCCGATGCCGGCATCCGGCTTCTGTGTCCTGTCCCTGTGACGTCGGGACGTACGGGCGCCGCCGCCGCCGGCGGCGGGAAATTTAAAAATTTAAAAAAATTTCATTTTTTTTTTTTTTTTTCATTTTACACAGTAAAACATTGCTGTTTCAACCTATTTCACATACATATTGTCCCTAGTGCTTTGTCCTGTGCCCTGCCTGCATTTTGTCTGTTCTTTCTGCCTGGAAACTGAGAAATGTCCATGGCGTCCAAAAAGTGTCCCTTTAGGTCAAAAGCGGTTTAGATCAGCTAGAGAACAGCGATAGTAAATCAGAACCACTTACAGAATTGAGTGATAATGATTCGTGGGGGAAATTCGTCATCAGAAACTGAAAACGATTTTGCGACTGAGCTCAGCAATGTGCGAACTTGGCGCTCTATTTCACATTTCAGTGCTTTTGGTTTGATTATATTATTGAATTAAATTTTTTTATTATTTTTATATTATTTTTATGATTATTTATTAAATTATAATTTATGATTTTGTGTTTCAAATTTTATCATACCCGGGATGTTTACTAGACTCTTGTTCGGACAGATTTCAGTGAGTTTTTCCTAAAATTTACAGCCTACAATAAAAAAAATACATATTTCCATGCAAAAAAATGGTACCGCTTTCAGCACCAAAAATCTGAAATAATCATACC